TCAGGTCTACATTGACGACTAGTTTGAGGAAAGAAAGTCAAGCAGTTGACTGAGTTTATTACATTGAATGGCTGAATCAGCTCAGATGAGGTTTCTGGTAGCATTAATTAGCCAGTACCAAATACAGTACCAGTCAGATATCCCGCTGTCGATTCACTGTTCCGCAGTCTGCTTTTTTACTCTGCAGCTATTATACTCTGCATATGAAGTTGGGTCAGGTTTACAGTTTCTGGAGAATATGTGTATGCTTATAATTGCTAGCATATAGTGGAACCACATTGGGCGATCTTTAATTTGAGTGTTAACGACAGTGTGAATTTGAACTGGTTGAAGTAGTTGATAAGCATATTAAACATCCCAAACCACTACTTGCCACAACATGCCATATTAATTGGAGTAGGAGTAAGATGAATATAAACTAGGAGTGGTTGAATCAAAACCTGTTATCAGTTCATGAAGTCTAGGACAGAGGCTTACAGAGAAGTGTTGATTATCTGGCTATCGTCGCTAAGATGTTAGAAAATAATGATTAGAAACACTAAGTAGCTCAGAATTTGTTGAAATAGGATAGATGTGTTCACTCTTATTTGTCCTCAAAATTCTTGATACTGAATGACCATCTCAGCAACCACTTGCATGTTAATGGACTCGGCAACGGGCAACACTAATTTTGTGAGCGCTAACGGTAATACCAGGTTTCTCAAGCCTCGTTACTTAAATTTAATAAATCTTCATATAATTACTCTTCTACTTATTGTATCCTTTTTATTTCAATGTTTCAAATTTTGCCAATTTCCTTTCTATGCTGTTTAAAAAAGTATCAAGACGAACCAATTTATTTGTTTACATGCAAGGTTCTACATTACATTTTTCGTAATCTTGTAATAATCTCCGAAGAATCCCTGATATGCTTAAATTGTCCAGACTAGCTGGTTTTTTTAAGTGGTTAATAGAGTAAGCATGATTGCGCAATCGACAGCAGACATAGAAAGCTAATCTTTACTCTGATACTTGTATGATGAAACTGACAGTAAGATATTAACTCTAAACTGAAGTGTGTTTTAATTTTTCCGTTGAGATTGTACTTGACCATCCACCTATATCAGCTGTTTATTTTTGATATTATAGTTCCAATACATTTCATCCAATGCTTGTAAGTATAACTAAGAGGTAACCAGTAATCCTAAATTAAATTCAAACATGATACGGTATAGGATTACTGATAGCATATGTGAAAGTAATTTCACTTTCACTTTAAGGATATATGGGTCATTAAAACATTATGGATGGTGCCTAATAAAACAATGGTAGCAGTGAAGCAAATTTAAAGAGATAATGTAGCTGTCCTGTCATATTCTAGATGAGATAGGAGAGGGAATCACAAATATCTTTATCCTAGTAACACCAAGAAAACCCTCAGTAAAAGCAATGAGATAGGTTAAATTTGTAATACTGGTTCACATTTATTTTAGCAACAAATCGTTTCTGAAGACAAAACGCACACTGCACATTAATTAATAAGGTTTTAGGTTGGTGCTTAAGCATGACAGGACGCTCTGTTGCTAAATTTTGTCTACAAGATAATCACATTCCTAATGAAGATCAGAATAATACTGACAAAAGTCTTATAGCCACTACTCAACACCTAAAGTCTAAAAGTAAATAATAAACTATGATTCTTAAACTGCTGCGGTAGTAAATCCTCAAAATTGGCCTTGCAATGACTAGCTCTCGTGAACTTACTGATGCAGACATGGCATTAAGTTGTGGAACAGAAAGCGTACTTCTTCATTGGATGCCAGTCAACAGGCATTACTGTGCTGTTCGACTCAATGAATCTGTAAAATCATTGTAAGGATTATGAGACCAGCTGATGCCTATTCGTAATTTCTGTCTCAGTGCACATCGACTGCAGTCCGAAAGATTAAAAGCATGGATTCGATCAAAAGCAGACAATTTCGCTACAGATAGTCAGCGACTTCAACGTTTAGGTAGTCCTTTGTGAGAAGAATGAGGATATGGTTTGTTTCTAAAAAGACTCAATACCGTACAAAATCATATCAGCCCAACTTTTGAGAAAAAGAATAATAATCATCTGCAATTCTAAGACATACTCTTCAGTCAACAAGGAGATGGTTCAATAAGATGGCCAGTCTACAGAAAGCCTACATGAACCGGACAATGTCTGAATTTTCACAGTTTTTGTCCGATCCAACACAAGCAAAGTATAATAAAATGCCTGTTTAATAGAATTTCTCGTATCTGTACTTCAGACAAGATGGATGAAGGTATAAAACTACTGACCAAAACACTTATGGAAAATGGATATCCTTTGAAGTTTACAAACCATTGTAGAAGTTAGGTAGAACCAAAGCCAAATTTAAACACGATTCCTAAGAAAGAGTCGTTATCACGCCGCCATACAGAGGGGAGTTGAATGGTAAAATTTTGAGACGTAGGCTAATATCAACCATTAAGGAAAACATACTATGCAACTAAGCTCATCATTGTGGAAAAGAAAAACCACGTGCTTCGCCACGAAACTAAACACTGCACAAATGATTACGTCACACCCCGCTGTGTTTACCAATTTACATGTGTGTGGTCACACATACATAAAGAGAAGTAATCGAACCATGCAGTTGAAGGGAGGAGAACATGCACCTAAATGGCTTCAAAAACAAATGAAGTGTGAAACTCTGATAGGCGCAGGTGGGAGATTACCCTCGTCCTCTATAGCTAAACATATTATAGAAACAGGTTACAAAATTAATGCTCAAACAGCTTCCAAAGTTTTAGATAGAAACAGTCAGGAAATCATACTGAGATTTGCGGAAGCGATAGCCATACACAAATTGAAACCAACCTTATGTGTGCAAAAACAGTTTCTAATCACACTTCACATACCTTGGTAAAATTCCCTTTCTTACCAAGATTGGGATCAACTACATCGCTACTCCTGTTTGCTCTCATCTTTCTTAATTTTAATCACCTATTGTTATAGTTATCCTCTCAACCTTCAGGTTAGCATAAATCTACTTGGAAAGTAAATGTGTGGCCCGATTATTTGAAATGCATTGAGCAAATACATCAGGGTGTTCAGATAAACTTCCGCTCCTAATGATTCCATAAAACTCATAACAGCGCGCTCTGACCACAATGAAGAGCGAAAGCAACTCGAACTTAAACCCACCACGACAGACACTGTCTCATATGGCATCCACAGACATCAAACCGATGATAGACGCAGTTAGATCATGCTGCTATAAGCCACCGTTGAAGAAGACCAGTGGGGGATTGCCACTGTTTCTCGAGTACCTGTTTGGACTCCGACAACGCGCTAGTACCGGCTGGTGTATGTCTTTGCCTTACTGGTCGCAGAAAACAGGCAGCAGTAAAGCCTATCTGTGCTCAACTGGAATGTAGGAGATAGCGAAGCATTTATCTGAACAAGATAGCAATGCTCATCCTGAGGAAAACTGATCCCATACTAGGTCTGCTGTCGAAACATAGGTAAGGAAAGTTCTTTCTTCTATGTCTACTGAATGACCAAACGAATGCGATACATTTTTTCTAACAGTTATGTTGGCATTGTTCTGGTATTCTATTTTTCAAAGTAGGAAATCCTTGTCTGAACGTTGACTCAGACATACAGAGAAGAGTTCAGAGGGTAGCTACTCGTATTGCCCCTCCAATAGCTGGCCTGACCTATGAACATAGACTTAAGCAGCTAACCCACTTCACTTTGCCCTATCACAGACAGAGGTTAGATCTGATCTTGCCTAACTGGATTCTAAGAAATGATTTTGAAGAATGGCCTACCTTCTTCCCGTCCCATTAGATCGGAACACTTCAGAGGATATAGAAGGAGAACACGAAAGCAAAGGCTGAATGTAGTCTTCGTAGAGTACTGGTTACCACGTCGAGTAATCAACTCCTAGAACCGACTCCCAGAAGAAGTGTTGTCCGTGTCATCACTTGAGTCGGTAAAAAATTAGACTAGAGATGCATAGGGATCTATTGAAAGTGGATTGATATAGACTCATAACCTTATATCCTCAAGCAACAAATCTGAAGTCTCAAATTTCCAAATATCAGCTAAATAGCCTATGACGAAGTAAACGCCTGTCTTTTCTCTTGTAAGTTTTGTTTTAACATATAGGTGTTCTCCTGCTGGAATTTGCAATTTTCGCATTTTCCTTGCGCTTATTAGCAGCTACACACTCAGGGTCTGTAATTAAGTTAGCCGTAGACAAATAAGTTTCGGTGCTTTCCGCTAAAATAACCTTACTTCAGGCTAACAAGTAAACTGCACTTCAGGGCACCTTTTACAATACGCTTTCTTATCTTTTGTTATCGGTACTTACACGTAGATAGGATATTGATAAGTTGTGCACGCAAACTTACATACGGCTTGCCACATATAATAGTGACGCAACTAGCCTCTTACAAAGGAATTTAAGTAACAACAAAAGTCGCACAGGACGTATAAGTATCACAGTATCAAAAAATGAATAGTGAAGGTTATTGGCAGTGCAACAGTTATTTACAGTATCACTTTTAATGATGCTAAGGGATTTACAGTGTCTGCAGTAGTATCGAAAACTTTTAGTATTTTTTATTATATTTCATGGGTATAACAAGCTGCTCTCGTTACCTTAATTGCATCAGAGGATATGAATTTCGGAGTCACTAATTTTAGTCGCTACTTAGGTGATATCAGAGACTATGTGGGTCCTAATTCGATAAACTAAGTGAGTCAGGAATAAACTGCACACAAGAATCTTTCGAAGAACTTATATCTGCTAGACCTACATCCTATCTTCCGTATGATCTTTCCAGAAAGGAAGAATATCAGAGCTTATCTAACTGGTGCATTTCCATCAACAACGTATGATTAGAATAACCTCAGAATTACTTCAAAACATATTATAAGCTACAAAATTTTGTGATTTTGGCATACAGATGCGAATTTAAGTCATCTGATGGTTTGTACTTACCTGTGAGTGTCCGACGTAACTTAATTTTTCAGCACTGGTGTGATTGAGAACATAGTTCAATGATGCAGGAAGGTCATATCTCCCATCTCATCCCATGAAAACTCCCAGAATTCTTTGTCTCCGGGTTTCAGAAACCAGTGGTTCGATGAATAAGTACTTCCACGGCTATTACCAAGCCATACATCATAGCAGTTATCAGAAAGAATGAACCCCAAACTTTCGTTCTGAAGATTATTAACCCATGTGTGAGCAGAGTCTAGAAGCCCATGTTGCAAGAATACCACTTTTGGTTTTCCTGAAAAGATTGGGGAAATATCAACCAAGAGGGAATGTACCTGAAGCAGGATAACAATTTGGTAAGATCCGAACGACACAGAGAATATAACCATCTTCAGTTGTTATGTAATGTTCTTCAGTTTTATAGCCCTTTGAAGATATTACTTCTGTCTGAAAGTACATACGGCTGGATAATTTCAGACATACTATGTTTTGATACACTTCTGGATCTATTCCATTTTTGAATGCATCAAACAGTCTTTCAACCGAAAACTCCGGATTTTGTTGGGCCTCATCAACAAAAACATTCACTATGAGAAACCACAGGAACCAAAAAAGGACAGAGACGCCTTCCATTTACCTCTCGAAACTAATAGTAAGAATTGGCCAAGAAAAACAAATACCTCCAAGTATGCAATATCCAATATCTTTTCACGGACCACTATAAACCAGTTGATTTCTTCGCGCAAGCTTCCAGGCCTAACTTAACGTTTCCATGATTTTGGTGGATTTCGATGTGGTATGTCTACCCTCCCGTCTACTGGAGCTCTGGTTGGGTGCTAAATAAATTTCTAGGGCTTCTAAGAACTGTGGGGTAGACTAGTGGAGCGCGCTTTGAAAACAGGAAGTGAATTTTTCCACGATTTTGACATTTTTGCTTTTGTTGTGTAATCCACATCAAGAGCTTTCATACAACCCTTGACTTGAAGTACCTAAGTCAGCGTTTGAAGTTTAATCATTTTTGAGGCTTAAGGTCTGTCTTTGTGTTGTCACAACTTAAGTCCCCTTGTCGGAATCTTGACCGAGTACTTTAGTTAGTGCACGGCAAGAGTAAATAACATTGTCAACGACAAGCATGTTTGCGGTCGTCCCAGCTGTAAATTTCCAGTGGATGAAGGTATGCAGTGTGGTGTATGTGGATGTTGCTTCCACAAAGTTTGTACAGGATTGACACCAACCGTGTACAAGCATTGCAGTAAACCAGCTTCTCCCTGGTTGTATGATTTCTGTTGCAAGCCATTGCCGACCCTCTTCCAGGAAGCTGTTGAGAATTTACTTGTCAAAAAACAGCTATGTGGAAATGATAACTGTCATTCTAATGCGGTATCAGATGATGACGCTGCAAGTGTAATCGTTAATATATCTGACACAGGACCTCTCAGTGGACTAATGGATGCTGGTGATCCAGCTGGTGAAAATACACCAGTCCCGAAGCGTACTCGACGCAAGAGAGAGCCAAGGGCAAATGGTACACCAACCACAATGCCTGAGGATTCACCGAAAGCTTGCATCTCCGGTAACAACGCTGACTATGTAAAAGTAGTCAACAAACCTACATGGATTTCTCCAAGAAAGCATCCGCACAGACTGCCAAAGGTTATCACGGAAGATACTAAGTTTATGAAACCTACTGAGGTTTCAAAGGCAGTCAACACACGACTCAAGGATTCCACTCCACCGCCCAGCTTAATCTTCTGGAATGTCGAGGAGTCATCAGACGGAGACGCCTAAATACGTCACGGCCATGACCTGAAACTAGTCGAGTCGGCCATCAGACGTATTCTACCTGAAAAGTCTAAAGGTGTACACATCTCCAAAGTGGCCAGGCTAGGTAAGAAAATGGACAAAAAACCTGATGAAAAGAGAATTTTAAAGGTTGTTTTGGGCAACAATGATGAAGTGAATGTACTCTTGAGTAACGCGTCCGAACTACGAAATTGGGGTACCCGCATCCGACCCGACTGGCCCCTCGAGGACTACATAATGAGAAGCTGTTGCAGAACTTGAGGCTCGACGGGCTAATGGTGGAAATGATCTTAAAATAGTGGGTTTTCAGGTGGTGAGGTCTTGGAAGCAAAAGCTTCTAAGGCCTATATGGGTGGGTCATGGAACTCTTTCAAAACAATGAAAGTTATCTACACTAACGTTTGCAGTATTAGAAGCAAAATGACAGACCTCGAGAATCTAATCTGCGAGCTAGGTCCTGACGTAGTAGCCCTCACTGAAACCTGGTTGATCAAGGTTCTGGATTTTACGCCACTCCTCGCAGGGTATTACTGTGTAAGGAGGGATGGGGTTGTGGGTCGCAAAGGTGGCGGCATATAACCAAATGTTAGGGATGACGTCCACGCACGGTTAGTCACTTCTGAAGCACATGAATGCGGGACCTGTGAAGTGGCGATTCGCAAGCTGAAGTCAAAGCATGGTTTCGTACTATCGGGTTCATTTACCTGCCTTGCGAATGGCTTCGTACTAACCTATATACGTAACTGGAGTAGATGTAACAGATGCCCAATAGTTGGGGATCTGAATGCTCCACACATAAACTGGACGGAGCTAAAAGTTTCACCATCGAAAATGACTTACTTTTGACGGTCTTAGAATCTGCTTCAGTTCAAAACGTAACATGTGTGACACTTTACGATTTTGAACACAAACCATCGTTATTAGGTTTAGTTTTAACATATCAATGTGGAGGCATTCTGGATCTACGATACTTCCCTCCATTGGCTAATAGCGACCATGTAGTACCAACCTTTGGTTTTCGGACTAGTGAGTTTGATTAGGACACTGCCTCCCCCAGACCTGATGTATGGCGTGCGGACATTTCAAGTATTAGAGATTGCGCAGTCAGTAAGGATTGGACTGTCAACAAGAACTCATCAATTGAGAATGCATAGAATAGGTTTGGAACTCTATTTGAAGAGTTAACGACGCCATTTGTTCCATGTTCGACTCGATGACGATCCTCACATCTCCCTCTGTGGTTTAATAAAGACATTAAGAGACTTAAGGCGGAGGAAACGCTTATGGGACTTGTTTCTAGAAATGAGACTGGAAACATTTGAGACCGGGTATGTAAAATCCGTATTCTCTACAAGACTTTGATTACACGGTCTCGAATGTCCTACAAGAAGCAGCTTATGGGGGATTGCCAAAATTGTCCTAAAAGACTGTTTGCATTCATCAGAAGGAGGACTAAAAGAAAAGGCGGAATCCTTTCCCTGGCAACGGATGAGAAGTCCGATAGTCTGGCGGAATCTAATCTGTCCAAAGCTGGGTGTCTCTCTGATTACTTTAGTGAGATCTTCTCTGTAGATCATGAAGATGAAGTGCTAAATAATGGTGTCAGCACTGTTCCACTAATGGATACAGTGTTCACAACAAAGGAAAGAGTTTTACAGCTGCACATTAACCTCAAACCTGAAAAATGCCCAGGTCCTGACGACTTGCATCCCAGACTTCTATCCTCGCTAGCAGAGATCGTTGCTGAGCCAGTCACGGATCTTTTCAACATATCCCCAACTCAGACTCGCCTCCCTAGAGACTGTAAAGATGCCGTAATCAGCCCAGTCTTCAAAACCGGTAGTCGCCATTTGGTGTCTATCGTCCCGTGAGTCAAACTAGCATAGTTATTAAGATTTTAGAAAAAATAATTCGTGACAGGGTACTTAAACATGTGGAATCGACCAGTCTTTTGCCACAACAACAACACGGTTTTCGTACTGGACACTCCTGTCTAGCTAACCTCCTTATCGCAAGAGAGGAATGGGTTGCAGCCCGTGACTGCAAGCTGCCAATAGATGCCGTGTTTATAGACTTCAGTAAGGCATTCGACGGTGTTGCATGTAAAATTACTAGGAATGCTCTCCTCCTTCGGGTTTGGTACTTCACTGCAAGCTTGGATTAGGGACTTTGTATGCGATAGAAGGCAAAGAGTAAGGGTAAATGGGACACTATCCAGGTAGAAACCTGTGATGAGTGGAATTCCCCAAGGAACAATCCCAGGTCCACCACTTTCCTCTTTATATATCAGCGAATTGCCAAATATGCTCAACTCTTCGGTACTGTTATTTGCCGATGATGTAAATATTTGGAGAGCCATACGTAGTGAAGCAGATAGGTTTGCACTTCAGGATGATTTAGATGAACTAGTAGGCTGGTCCAAACGTTGGTGCCTGGAAATCAATCCTAACAAAAGCGCAATAATGCACATTGGTCATAGCAGTTGTTTCCAGTATTCCGCTGACGGTACACCATTACTTCCAGTCCTTGAAATAAAAGACTTAGGTGTCATATTTAGTCATGATTTGAAAACCTCGGTAAGTTGCAACGCAGCTGCAGTAAAGGGCTTCCGTATATTATGGTTCCTCCACACAGCTATCAAATTTTTTGATGAGGGCATGTTTAGAATACTCTACTCTACCTACGTCAGACCTCGCTTGGAATACTGCATTCAGGCGGCTAGCCCATGCCTAAAAAAGGATGCTGACGCACTCCAGCGTGTTCAGAGGGTAGGTACTAAGCTTGTGGCAGGCCCTTCAAACCTGTCCCATGAAGAACGACTAGATCAGCTAGATTTATTCCCACTGTCTTACCGTAGAAGACGGGGTGATCTCATACTGGCGTTTCGTATTCTTAACACTGACTTCACTACCGATATGTCCTGTTTTTTCTCCCTTGCCAGAACTGACTATCTCCGAGGGCATCACAAGAAAATTCAAAAACCGCGATCGGATCAACTTAGCGTGAATCTGCGTTTCTCCCATCGTGTTGTCAACCAGTAGCATCAGCGCCTTCTGTCAACGCGTTCAAGGAGAAACTATATCTTCACAGATATATCCTTTGCAAGGATTAACACACGCCAACTGGCCTACTATCCTTATAACTGAAACTGAAGCTGAACTGAAGTGTCGCGCTGCCAGAAAGTCGGTCGAAATGGTTGTAGTTAAGGTTAAAGGAGGCATTATGGGAATAGAAATGATAGTGTTATTAGTGGGGCGTATAGTAACTGGAGGAGACATCCAACTGGGAAATATAAGGTTAAGTCATGTTCGTGATTACAGTGCCGTTACGAAGGTTTAAATATTGGGCTAACTGGGCTAGAGTATGCGGGAGTGGTGGATCGTGCCCATGTAGTCCTTATCCCAGGTTGATGAGCGCCAAACGTGCCCCGCCATGCATCTGTCCAACCTCCTCTTGAAGCCATCAACAGATGGAGTAGTGGCATTCGCGGCAGGCAGTGTGTCCCAATGACCGCAAACCAGTAAAGAGAAAGGTGTGAGTCCACACAGGTCCTCGCCACATGGTGAGCGATGCTCCTTTAGTTGTCACGGGGATTGCCATGGTGGCCGTTCGGTGGGATCCCATTGTCCGCATGGTTTGGATTATTTTGCACTCGGTGGGGTCATGAAGTCGCCACGTAACCTACGATAACTGAGAAGGTGAACCTTATGTCTTTCTGTCCATCCTCGTAAGATTTCTCTCGCATTCCCATAACATCCTGTGAACTTTCCCCAGGAGGTTGATATCCCTCTTGAGGTATGGCGGTTCACTAACATTATGGACCAGTTATT